ACTGTCATCCACTCAGAAAGGGATCAGTGCAGGAGGTCCTGGATAGAGTGGCAGAAAAATGTGGAACAAAACTAAAAAAAAAATGACCATGCTTACTGGTCTGATAGAGACCATTGAAAACCCCAAGACTATGGCCTCTAATCATCCTTCAGGCCTGGACTTGAGCTCACTCCCATGGCCTTCAGCCAATCAATGAACAGGAAAATAAGGTGAACATTTACAGCAGGTAGGTACACTCCTTAGAACAATTGATCATGGTAGGTCAGAAGGGCAGTATTTACACAGGGACATAGCTCAGAGGGCAGGAATGCATGCATAGGAAAGAAGGACATATAAGAAAACAGTAACCATAGGAGGAAGTGGGAAGAGAGCTGTTACAATTGCAAGGATTGGAATCAATGTCATGAAACAAAATGTATGTGAACTGCTATATGGAAAAGGAGTTTGCTCTGTAAACTTCCACTCAAATCACAATTTTTTTTTTAAAAAAAGGGAAAACTTGATTTTAAAAAAAAATCAAATTTGCTCCAGTTATCAATAAGGTGGATTTTAAAATTTCAGTAAGATTGACAGTGTTTCTTTGCAACATTCTAGCATAGATTATTAAAGAGGTTTGAAATGAAAAAGTAGTGTTCGGTAGTATCCATTAAGAGTGTACCAAGAACAAAAATATTTATTAGTTTTTTTCTGTTTTGATTTTGCAAGGAAGTACCACGATTACTTTGCATCTTCAACAAGTCTACTTCAACCATACTGTTCTTGGAAACAAGTTTTAAAGTGTGAGCTGTTACTACAGATAGGGAATCTTTGAACAGCAGCACTGAAAAAGAGTTGCTGACCATGAACTCAGACCCCTTGTTCCAGAGCTTTGGGCTGGCTCCTTTTAATCAGTAACTTGAAGGGACTCAGAGGGCTTGCTGATACTAATCACAAATGTCATAGATCTGTCAATTATAGCTAAAGTAAAAATAATCAAGATTAATTGTCCAACTAGCAGCTAATAATCATCTTATCATGCTTTTCTTCTCTATTATAAGGGAAACACAACAACCTTGGGAGCATTCAGGGGAAGGTGATTAGATCTGAAAATCTAATCTCTTATGTGAAGAGTAATTGAAGGAACTAAGAATATTTAACCTGATGGAGAGAAGACTGAAGGGAATAGTTAGAAGTCTTCAGATATTTAACTGCTTATTCTGTGACATTACATATTACAAATTTAGGACCGTTAAAAGTTAATATCGATAAGATATTTTGTATACAATAGAGAAAAGTGACAAATTGTCAAGGGTGTTGTAAAATGAAATTTATGGATAATGTTGGATAGGAGATTGGAGTACAGTTCTTCTAAGTAAAATTCATTTAGAATCTTATGTGAATACATGAATGACACAGATTAGATATGTGTTGTTGTTAGGAGCTGTTGAGTTGTCTCCGACTCATAGCGACCTCATGTACAGCAGAACAAAACATTGCCCAGTCCTGTGCCAACCCCATGATCTTTGCTATACCTGAGCCCATCACTGCAGCCACTGTGTCAATCCATCTCATTGAGGGCCTTCTCCTTTTTCGTTGTCCCTCCACTTTACCAAGCATGATATCCTTCTCCAGGAATGGTCCCTTCTTACAACATGATCAAAGTGGATGAGGAGAACGAAGTCTGTCCATTCTCACTTCCAAGGAGCATTCCAGCTGTACTTCTTCCAGGACAGATTTGTTAGTTCTTTTAGTAGTTCATGGTATTTTCATCATTCTTCACCAACACCATAACTCAAAGCATCATCTCTTTTTCGGTCTTCCTTTTTCAATCTCCAGGTCTCAGATGCATATGAGGTGATTGAAAATACCATGGCCCACGTCAAGTGCACCTTAGTCTTCGAGGAAGTATCTTTGCTCTTGAGGTACTTTGCAGCAGATTTGCCCAATGCTATACGACGTCTGATATCTTGACTCCTGCTTCTATTGGTGTTGATTGTAGAACCAAGTAATATGAACTCTTTGACAACTTCAATCTTTTCTCCATTTATCATGATGCTGTTTATTGGTCTAGTTTTGAGGATTTTTGTTTTCTTTATAGTGACATATAATCCATATTACAGACTGTAGTCTTCAGTCTTCATCAGTAACTATTTCAAGTCATCCTTCCCTTCAGTGAGCAAAGTTGTGTCATCTGCATAATGCAGGATGTTAATGAGTCTTCTTCCAATCCTGATGCCACATTCTTCTTCATGTAGTCCAGCTTCTTGGATTATTTGTTCAGCATACAAATTAAACAAGTATGGTGAAAGCATAATCGCCCTGACACACTCCCTTCTTGATTTTAAACCATGCAGTGTCCCCTTGTTCTGTTCGAACAACAGCCTTCTGGTCTATGTACAAGTTCCTCATGAGTACAATGAAGTGTTCTGGAATTCCCAATCTTCTCAGTGTTATCCACAATTTGTTATGATCCACACAATCGTATGCTTTTGCATCGTCAGTAAAACACAAGTAAACCTCTTTCTGGTATTCTTTGCTTTGAGCTAAGATCCATATGACATCAACAATAATATCCCTCATTCCACATCCTCTTCTGACTGCAGCTTGCATTTCTGGAAGTTCTTTGTCAGTATACTGCTGCAACTGTTTTGAATTATCTTCAGTAAGATTTTATTTGCATGTGATATTAATGATACTGTTTGATGATTTTCCACAGTCTGTGGGATCACCTTTCTTTGGAATGGGTACAAATATGGATCTCTTCCAATCAGTTTTCCAGGTGATTGTTGTCCAAATCTCTTGGCATAGCTGAGTGAGTGCCTCCAGTGGAGCATCCATTTGTTGAAACATCTCAGTGGGTATTCTGTCAATTCCTGGAGCCTTGTTTTTTGCCACTTCCTTTAGTACAGCTTCAACTTCTTCCTTCAATACCACTGGTTCTTGATCATATGCCACTTCCTGAAGTGGATGAACATCGACCAATTCTTTTTGGTACAGTGACTCTGTGTATTCTTTCCATCTTCTTTTGATGTTGCCTGCATCATTCAATATATTGCCCATAGAATTTTACAGTGTTGCAACTCGAGGCTTAAATTTTCTCTTCAGTTCTTTCAGCTTGAGAAATGCTAAGCAGGTTTCCATCTCCATGTCTTTGCACATTTCATTATAATAATTGACTTAACTTCTTGAGCTGCTCTTTGAAATCTTCTGTTCAGCTCTTTTATCTTGTCATTTCTCCCATTTTCTCTAGCTACTCTCCATTCAAGGGCAAGTTTCAGAGTCTCTTTGGACATCCATTTTAGCCTTTTCTTCCTTTCCTGTCTTTTTAATGACCTTTTGCTTTCTTCATGGATAATGTTCTCGATGTCATCCCACCATTCCTCTGGTTTTCAGTCATTGGTGTTGAGTGCATCAAATCTTTTCTTTAAATGGTCTCTAAATTCAGGAGAGATATTATCAAGGTCATATTTTGAATCTTGTGGACTTGTTTTAATTGTCTTCAACTTCAGCTTGAACTTGAATATTAGCAGTTGATGGTCTGTTCTACAATCAGTTCCTGGCCTGTTTTGGCTACAGATAGTGAGCTTCTCCATCGCTTCTTGCCACAGATGTAGTCAATTGGATTACTGTGTACTCCATCTGGCCATATGTATAGCCATCATTTCTGTTGTTGAAAAAAGGTGTTTGCAATGAATAAGTCATTGGTCTTGCAAAATTCTGTCATGCGATCTCCAGCATCATTTCTAACTCCAAGGCCAAATTTTCCAACTACCAGTTATTCTTCTTTGTTTCCAACTTTTGCATTCCACTCACCAGTGATATCAACACATCTTGATTGCTTGTTCGGTCAATTGCAGACTGCAGAGGTAGGTAAAAATCTTCAATTTCCTCATCTTTGGCTTTGGTGGTTGGTGTGTAAATTTGAATAGTAGTGTTATTAACTGGCTTTCCTTGTAGGTGTATGGATATTATTCTATCCCTAACAGCACTGGGAGCTCTGGTAGCATAGTGCCTAAGGCACTTGACTGCTAACCAGAAGGCTGGCGGTTCAAACCCACCAGCCACTCCTCGGAAGGATACTTCCGTAGTGATACTGCCTCAGAAACCCAAGGAGGGGTCGCTATGAGTCGGGGCCGACTCGATGGCAAATAACAACAACAACAACAACAGCACTGTACTCCAGGATAGATCTTGAAGCATTTTTTTGTGATCATGAAACTAGCCATAGAGAAGAAATTTTTAAAAACTTAATTTAGTTAGAAGTATCTCTGGTGGTATAGTAGTTAAGGCATTTGGCTGCTAACCAAAAGGTCAGTGTTTCAAATCTACCAGCTCCTCTACAAAAGAAAGATGAGGCAATCTGCTTCCTTAGATTTACAGCCTTGGAAACCCAATGGAGGTTGCTCGCAGTTGGAATCATTTTGATGTCAGTGAGTTTGGTTTTGGTTTGGTTACTTAATTAGAAAGGAATATTTTCATTATAAATGTTCACAAAGGTTACCAATGAACTACAGGTAAATATAGAATAGTTTCTTATAGCCTAGGAAATCTAAAGAGAAAAGTCCTCTCACATAATATTTGTTGCTTTTAGTCCTGCTTTAGACTTTCCTGAGGAAGGTTATAGTTGCTTTCTGTTGTGAAGGTGACTCAAATAAGCGGGCCAACCAAGAGTATTTTTTAACCATTTGCTTTAAGAATAAATCCAAACAACTGAACATAAAGTTGATATGTTGTGGAAAATGGAACTAATGTCACAGAACAATTTGTGTAGAAATTGTCAAATGAAAAACTAATTTGCTGTGTAAACTTTCATCAAAAACATAATAAAATATTATTTGAAGAAGAGTAACTGCGGTGTCATTAATATAATTTCTGTGGAACTTTATTTGAATAGACATGTATAGCTCTAAAACTCATTAACTGGTGAAACAATGATTTGTCAAGTTTAACTTTCCAAATGGGGTTCTTAAAGATATTATAATGTGTCATCTAAACATTTAATGTTTTTGTTCTTTTTTCAGTGGTTATCCAGGCTGTCCTTACCCACCCAGTAGTCAGTATCCTGCCACAACAAGTTCCCAGTACCCTTCTCAGCCTCCCGTGACCACTGTTGGTAAGTACCCTTGAAAACATATTTTTCTACATAGGGAACATCAGAGTCTCCTGTTGGGAAAAGTGCATATCACTTTTATATTACATGTTCTTCTTTGTTTCCAACTTTTGCATTCCACTCACCAGTGATAATCAACACATCTTGATTGCATGTTCAGTCAATTTCAGACTGCAGAGGTAGGTAAAAATCTTCGATTTCCTCATCTTTGGCTTTGGTGGTTGGTGGAGGGAAAACTCTTAAGGGTCAGTGTCCCATAATCTAAAACTTTCAGTGATTTCTAATCATATAGATGAGTTTTCTTAAACAGCAAGTCAATTCCAATTACAACTTGTAGAACAGAGTAGAACTGCCCTATAAGGTTTCTTTGCAGAAACAGATTATCACATTCTTTTCCTTCAGAGTGACTGGTAGGTTCGAACAATCAACCTTTTGGCTAGTAGCCGAGCACTTAACCAGTTCTACCAGGGCATAAAAATAAATCTATTTTGTAACTCCTACCACTGTGTATTTTATCTATCTTACCACATCTCTCTTAGTTGCTTTTTCCTGTCACCCTGCTGCTGAAACTGTTCCAATGATTCTTCCAATGTCCTGAGTTCACTGTAGTGTTATTAGTCCTAGAAGGCCCTACATGATCCTGTCTCCTCTTATCTCCACCCTCCCGTAAAAATAACTTCTCATCTCCTTGTACCTGTTCTTCTGTCTTAGGACTTGTCCACTGCCTTTTTCCTTTGCATGGAACAGTCAGACCTAAGGAGCTCTGGTAGTGTAGAAGTTAAAGCATTTGGCTGCTAACCAAAAGGTTGGCAGGTCAGATCTACTTGCTGTGGGAGAAAGATGAGGCAATCTGCTTCTGTAAAGATTTACAACCTTGGAAACTCTGGGACGGTTCTAATCTGTCTTACAGTGTCACTGTGAGTAGGAATCAACTTAATGGCAGTAAGTTTGGTGTTTTGGTTTGGTCATGCCTACCCTGATCAATCTGCCACTCCCACCTCCCACCTTCAGCCTCTTCCTACATACCCAGAACAGTGCTTGGTTTATAGAGGTTTGTCATTAAATATTTTGCTAAATGCCTGAATAGATTTAGAATCTTACAAAATTAATTTTTTTATTAAATTTTCTGATACTTTAATAAGGAGCTCTGGTGGCATAATGCCCAAGGCATTTGACTACTAACCAGAAGGTTGGTCGTTCAAACTCACCAGCAACTCCATAGAAGGAAGACTAGGCAATGATTTCTTGCCTCAGAAACCCAAAGGGGATGTCCGTGAGTCAGAATCAACTTGATTGACAGTGAGTTTGGTTTTCGTTTTTTGACACTTTAATAATTATCTCTAATGTATATGCTCAAACTGTTTATTTCTACTGTTTTGTCCTTGGTACACTCTAGGTATGAAGGTTCTGGTGGCATGATTCTGATTAATTAAAATATGCTCTTGTGCTTATTTTAATGTAGCTCTTTTTCTACAGTATAAATGATTTGAGTTAGGGAGCTCTTTAATCCACAAACACACTAAATCTTGGTAAACCCTCCTATTTGATTCAGGCATATCAATAAAATGAGAGTAGTACTCTTGCTCTCCCTGATTTTCATTGAGATGCTAGTGTAATTAATCCCTTTGCTTCGAAGAGGCCTTCAGTTTATAAAATTGGTTTATGTCGACTCGTTTCAGTACTGGCAGTCCTCGGACTTATGGACAACTCTTACTTGCCAATTGTTGTTGTTGTTTTGCCGTCGAGTCGGCCCCGACTCCTAGCGACCCCTCCTTGGGTTTCCGAGGCAGTATAACTACGGAAGTAGGATTGGAAGGAGTGGCTGGTGGGTTTGAACCGCCAGCCTTCTGGTAAACAGTCAAGTGCCTTAGGCACTATGCTACCAGAGCTCCTATTATTAGTGTTATGTAAATTTGCCCTTACTTTGAAACCAACTCCTACTTGCAACAAACAAATCCTTCATCACAGTTCCTACTTGCAGGTGCAGCTTTTAAATCACTGAAAAGGTTTCTAGCCTTTCTTGCACTAAAGTAAGGCTAAATAAGAACAATATGCACCTTTTCAAATTTAACTTACAAATTTTTTTAAAATACATTTTATGTACAGTGAAATATGCAAAACTAAAGTGATACGGGTTGATGGGTTTTTTCGGTTTTTTTTTTTTTTTTGCATTGTACCCGTCTGTCCCCTCCCATCACTGGTGACCAACAAAGAAAATTTCCTTCCATATATATAAAGGTTTATATATGTAAACCTTTCCTTGACTTTTTTACAATAATGAACTAATACTGTATTTGTCCTTCTGATTGACTTATACTTCACTCACCGTAATGTCCTCCAAGTTCATCCATGTTATACGGTATTTTGCAGATTCTACATTTTTCATTACTGTTGCATAGTATTCCATTGTGTGTACCATAGTTTGGTTATCCATTCTTCTGTTTATGGGCACATAGGTTGTTTCCATCTTTTTGCTATTGTAAATAGTGCTGCAATGAACATGGATTTCCATCTATCTGTTCTTGTCCTGGCTCTCACTTCTTTAGGATACGTACCTAGTAATGGGATTGTTCGGTCAAATGGTATTTCTAATTCCAGCATTTTATGGAATCGGCCTATTGCTTTCCACAGTGGTGGAATCGTTAACTTACAAATTCTCAAAGACACAATTGGAAATGGGTCTCGTTCATAGCTTGGGTACTGTCTGTACAATATGTATGATACATTTTTTTAGAGTTGGTGATTTTCATATGTCCTGAAAATAGGGGTGTGGGGAAATAATGTATTTAAAATCAGATCTAATGATTTTAGAACAGATGATCAAAAAACTTAAATTTTATTATTTATTTATTTTTCCCAACAGTACTTTCTTAGGCTAGAAAGAAATGATCTTTTTGTAATAATTTAGGATGACAGCAACTAACTACAGGGTATCTTTACTATATGTTGTTTTCTATCCTTTGTTGCTTACCTACTTGAATTTTTTTCATTGATTTTCAGTGGTATATTTTGCAAAACACTGTTCACCTTCACAATTGGAATAAAGGAAAATAGAAACAACAGTATCATTTGAGTATTAGAGTTCACAAATAATCGGTATTTTCTCAGTATATCAATGGACAGGATTTATGCTATTATTCTCTGTGTTAATGAAGGTTATTAGAAAATAATAAAATGAATGGAGTTATCTATCCTTGTACTTTTTGGAACTTAGTAGTTTCACTCTTTAAAAAAAAAAACCCGCTGCCATCAAGTCAGTCTGACTTACAGTGACCCCTCCTTGGGTTTCTGAGGTGGTATCCTGCAGAAGTAGATTGCCCAACCTTCCTTCCGGGGAGTTTGAACCACCAGCCTTCTGGTTAGCAGTCAGATGTCATAGGCACTACGCCACCAGAGCTCCCAGTTTCACTCCTAAGAGTTTTGAATTTATGGTGTAAAACACCACCTGACTGAAGGCACCGTTAATTAACTTGTCTTTTTATTAATGATGTGGCTGCTTTGCAAGTATTGATTTCAACCATCTACAACAATATTGAGGTAAAAGAACTATCTAAAAATTAATTGAGATTGCATTCTTTGTAGCAGCCACTTCTGAGACAGTAGTGAAAAAGGCTGAAGATACAGCCTTCTTGATGCACATCTTGGGACTTAAAGCAGATCTCTGACTCCTTTCAATGTAGATTTTTAAACAACATCATTTAAAAGATCATAGAATTTGTTTTGTCATTTCATTTTACAGCTTTTCTGTTACATGGGCAGACAACTTCCTGCCTAGCTTGACTCAAAAGTATCTCTTCATAAGATTGGAACTCACCAAAGGCACTGACTAAGTAGTGGAAGACAATTGAACAGTGAAAATAATGCTCTGGGTAGTCTGTGGTATACTTCATTTGGTGTGGGCAACTATAACGATATTTTGGTAAACTTGTTTTATTATTTAAGGGAGGGAAAAGTTGTGATCTATAATTTAAATTCTTCCCAGAAATCATTGTAAAGCTGGTATGTGTTTTGGATATCATCTTTTCAAAAGCATTTTCTAATGGAAGACCAAGGGGAAAAGATATAGAACTTGGGCACCTTTCCTTGAAATATCTTTCCATTTCAGGCATTGTATACCAGCAAAAACAGCAGAAGGAATGCAAACTTTTCTTGATAGCATAAAACTTAAATTCTAAAACAGCTAAAAATTTAAATTTCTGTTTCTCCAGGTTAAACATGTGTTTCTTAAGAGTGAAACATTTTTGTTAGGACTGGGCATATAACTCACCATATTGGCATTACTATACTATAAAAGAATTTGAATTCTGGTTTTCAAGGTTCAAAGCTACCACCAAGTTAAAAAGAATAAGCTTAGGAGACAACGTTAATATGTGTTTATGTTCTCTTAATAGCAGATGCTCATTGCCATCGAGTTGATTCCAACTCATAGTGACCCCCATTGGGTCTATGAGGCAGTAAATATTTAGATTGCCCCATGAGTCGGATCTGACTCGACAGCAGTGAGTTTTAATAGCAGATGCCAGAAGAAAGCAGAAGCAGGTATGGATGTGTGGTCATTTGTAGGTTTTCTGGGCTGAAAAATGGCCACTCAAGAGAAACTTTGGTCCCCAGCTGGGCATTTCTGTGGAGGATTCCAAACTCTATTGGATAAGGAAGAGTGGCATGATATGTGGTATCAGTTAATTGCCACCTTAATTTATGCACAGCACTGTATTCCAGATCCTGATGTGCTGGTGGTGCACCTGGGTGACAGTGATCTAGGGGTGATGGAGTTGTTGGATATTGTAACATGAATTAAGAAAGATTTAAGATTTATTAAGCAAATGTTCAAGAATGTTAGAATAGTGTGGTCCAACATGATACCCAGAAAAAGGTGGTACAGCTCTTAAAAAAAACACATTTTATGAATAAGTGTGTGAAGAAATTGACTCCTTACTTGACTCCTTCATGAAGTTCTTCAGAGGATCTACTGTCAGCCATGCTTCTCCAGGTTTAGTTTTCCT